TTTGTATCCCCAATCATGGTTAAGGAAATGTCATGTCTTGGCAAAGTTTTAAATTATATAATCAATGACGTATTCTGAATCTATAATGATGAGAAAAATTGTAATAAAAGATGACCCAGAGAAAGCTGCATTAGCTCTCTCTCTGGAGATTGCTCCAACGGAATGACTCCTGTCTCATCTTTTCGCCGACGCCACTCCTCCTTCAGGACTCCCTGGACCCCGCAAGGGCAGGACCCCGGCAAAATGAAAGGAAGATTCCTAAACTTTCTTAAAGAAAATAAAATCTGAAACTTTCCAGAAAGCACATGTTTGCTATGCTGAGTCTGCTGCAGGTGGGGATAGAAGAAGAATAAAAGGAGCTGAGGATAGACAAGGTGTCACTCTGTCTGTGCTCAGTCCATCCTGGTCTCTGGTGTGGTCCCTCGTCAGCTGGATCATCTTCCCTGATCCTTAGTACTGTCCTTCAGTTAAACCTCATCCCACCAGGACCTGCAATGACAGGGATTCAAGCATCACCAGGGCTGGTCGTGTCTCCAGGACCATGGGCATCACGTGCCCAGGTTAACATAGATTGAGAACTGAGTCTGACCTTCTGCTCCCAYCTTTTTTTGTTTCTTGGTTTCTACAGAGAATTATCCCTGTTCTTGTTATTAAGTATTAGTTCTGGTCTTGTTCTCCTCTGGGTGTATCATCTTTGACAGCAGCAGGAGTCCTCTTTCCTGTCGTTGTCCCACAAAACCAAGGGCAGTTTCCTGGAATATATTTTCCGTCATTTCTCCAGTATTTTTAAAGGAACCAGATTGTGGAATCGCAGAGAGGAAGGATCTCATGATTTCTCATCTTAGATAAATTCCCTCTTCTCTAGTCAGCAGGTTCACTGACCTTAGCTCTACTAATCCTAGCACTTGATCCATTACAGATTCTTGAACTGATAAAACAGAGACTAATTGATGGTTAGTTGGAAAATATGACCCTTTAGTGAAGGATCATCTTTTCTGAAGATCCAAATATCCTTAACAGCTGTGGAGTGCAGGAGGGCTGGTGTGGAGGGAGGAAGGGCAGCATTTGTGAGAAAAGTCCAAATAGTACTGATCTCAGTGTGAGAAGCCCTTGTGCTGCAGATGCCACAGCAGCATTTGATCTGAGGCTCCATTAATAAAGACAGTGTCTCTAGAAGAGGGAGGGGCTGACACTGATCATTCATTCAGCTCTGATTTGTTGAATACTGAATAGATGACACAGAGTTTGCACCTAGGATACATCAGGGAAGTGAAAACAAGACAAACTTTTGGAGCCTGTGTTCTATAGGAAAGAGGAAAGAGATGCACTTTAAGCACAGTAAATAAAGGTAGGGTTCACATTAAGTGGTAAGTGCTGCAGGGAAGGTGTCAGAGTGGRTGTGTGGGGACATGGAAGATGGCTATTTTAACAGGGTGCTCAGCATGGGATTTTTAGCAAGTGACCTTTGAGGAAATATTTGCAGGGTATGAAGGAATTTGTCATGAATTCCTTGTCATGAGGATGTTTGGAGGAAGATCTTACTAGGCAGGAGGAAGCTCCAGTGTAAATGTACCAGGGAAGGGTCCTGTGGGTGTGTTCTGTGGAGAGTAATAATCTGGGATTTCCTGAGCAGGGTCACTGAAAGGAGCTCTGATTCATGGCCAGTCACCAAAGACCTGAGATTGACAGAAGAAATTTTGCATTGAGTGAGGTAGTTTTGAGCAAAGACAGACATGGTGCATCTTTTCAAAGGGGAAACAGAATTGAGACAGGAGGACTATCGAGGCAGCAGGAAACTGTGGGGAATTAGTCAGTCCTATGTTGGAGATGTCAGTCGCTTCACCTGGAGTATGAGCAGGAGAAATAGTGGAATTGTTCAGATGGTACACACATTTTGAAGATAGACTTTACAGCACTTCCTAATGAGAAAGAGGAAATAAGAAAACCAAATATTTGTGACACTATAATCAGAGTCACATGTGTTGAGAAGAGTCAGACCCTTAGTGGAGAGTTGAGCTGAGACGTTCAAACTGCTATACCAATAGCTGATGATCAAACTGATTTCAGCAGACCCAAGGGCTTGATGCAAATATGCATCTTTTGCTTGACAGGTATCAGTCTGGGACAAGGTGAGGTTAGAGGTGTCCTTGCTCATCCTCACTTCCTGTTTGTGTCTTGTTGTGGATTGGTAACAAATATTTCACAGACCAGAGCTAGTGCACTTAGAACACATTTGAGTAGCATTGCTGTAGACAGAATAGTGTTCCAGCATTTGCCCTGGTGTCAGACCAATAGCAAGAAGGAATCAGTAGTTTGATGATTCCATTTTCACTAATGTGGTTTAAAGGTTGCCTGTTCCACTAAAATCAGCTAAAAAGAAGACTTAAAAATTAAGAAGCATCCAAAAGTAGAGAAGTTTAAGTTAGATGGCAATTCTGTAGCTCAAAAATATAGATGTGGGCAGGAATTCATGGAGAAAAATTTCTATTTTCCTGAAGGCATTTATCAAATCTGGAAAAAAATTAGCTTTTTTCTTAGACTCAAGGCATATTATTATGTTTGTTTCTTTCACTGTAACCAAACACCTGAGGTAATTCTCTTATAAAGAAGAAAGGTTTAGCTGGGCACAGTGGCACACACCTGTAATCCCAGTGGCTCAAGAGCCTGAGGCAGGAGGATCATGAATTCAAATTCAGCCTCAGCAAAAGCAAGGCACTTAAGCCATTCAGTGAGACCCTGGCTCTAAATAAAATACAAAATAAGGCTGGGAATATGGTTCAGTGGTCGAGTGCCCTGGTTCAATCCCCAGTACCCAAAAGGAAAGGGGAAAAAAGGAGAAGAAGAATAAAGGTTTATTATGGCTCAGTTTTGGAGGATGAAGTCCATAATTGGCCCTGCCACTTCACACCTGTAGTGAGACAACAACCTGACAGACCCAAACCACTCACCTCCTCCCCAGGAGATAAGGAAGAATAAGAAGGGGGCAGGTGTTCAACAATGTCCTTCAAGGGCACCCTCCCACCCCCAATGTCTTAAGGTCCTCCTGCTCAGCCCCACCTCTCAAGGCATGTACCATCTCCCTGTAGCATCACCCAGAGACCAGTCCTTTAACACATGGGCTTTGGAAACACTCAACGTTCAATTTTAACAAGCACACAGGTAATCATCCTCAGAGATAGTTTGAATAGGCAGTATGATAGGAGACACTCTTGCATTTCATTAAGTCTGAGAAACAAAAGATTATGTCCTCTGAGCAAGAAATGAAAATCTGGGGGCTGGGGCTGGGGCTTAGCAGTAGCGCACTTGC